TCTAGGGTTCTTGTGGCTCTTGTTGGGCTTTTAGTGCAGTTGGTTCCTTGGAAGGACAACTCTTCAGGAAAACAGGCAAATTGGTCCCTCTGAGTGAACAGAACCTAGTGGACTGCTCCTGGTCACATGGCAACAAAGGCTGTGATGGTGGCTTGCCAGATCTGGCCTTCCAGTATGTGAAGGACAATGGAGGCTTGGACACCAGGGAGTCCTACGCATATGAAGCACAGGTAGGTACAAATCCTAAGGTGTTTTTCCTTACCAAAGTCCTCAGAACTCGCTTTTATGGTAGAGTCCATCCTAATAAGTTCCAAGTGCTGCCATTAAAGGGACAGGCTTCACATGCTGGTCTGATTCCATAGTTTCCATGTAGCTGTGTCTGCTTCTGCTCACATGGAGGTTACGCAAACCATTCCACAAATAGTACAGATTTCTCCACTGTGGAAAGTTATTATTAATCGGAATATCTATGGTGTGTCACTGGAGATGCTCAAGTTAGTTTCTAGCAGCCACTGAAAGCTACCAGCTTGTCAGATCCAGTGACATTTTATAGACACATACACTTGTAGAGCCTCAGCAACAAATGCTGAGTCACCTGTGTGATGGCAGCTCAGCTGAGTGTAGTTCTGAGTGAGCCATGTTCCCCAGAAGTGGATAGTAATCACCATGATTTTTAAAAAACCTTTGTCTTTCAAAGGTTGGACCCTGCAGGTATGATCCTAAGTACTCTGCAGCTAATGTCACAGGCTTTGTGAAAGTCCCATTGAGTGAAGATGCCCTTATGAATGCTGTGGCCAGTGTGGGGCCCGTCTCAGTTGGAATTGACACTCATCACCACTCCTTTAGGTTCTACAGTGGCGGTAAGTATGGTTTCTCCAGTAATCGTGCATAACAGTTGTGCTTCTACTGTGGCCTGTGAATTTGATGACTTTTTGGTGCATAAAATATGTAAACAGTTTGAGTTGTAGATATTACAGTCAACAGGAGCAATATTTAATACTTAACAGTCAGCAGGAGCAATATTTTCATGGGTTATTTTTACTTAACATTAATTAAGCACACTCCCATGAACGTGGATCCATTGTAATTATTTTAACTAGCAAAATCAGGTTTTATGTGTTTCAATATTATTGAGTTTTGTTCAGATGCCGAATCTTTAGTATTTCAATAGATATTACAATTTCTAGGTCTGTGATTCCAGCAGGTTGGGGTTTCTTACATCCATCCAAGCAAGTGTTTTCCTGAGGATGCATGCTAACATTTACTTTCGTTACAGTACATAAGAGCTGACGTTCCAAACCTCACAAACACCGAATCAGTCCTGTCTGGCCCCTGAAACTAGAAATGTTTCTATTATTGATGGTGACGGCAGGCACTGTGGGGGGGGTCACAGGAGCCTCTCATTTGGCTTTGTTTTACCTTCTAGGCATGTACTATGAGCCAGAGTGTAGCAGCACTAATCTGGATCACGCTGTCCTGGTGGTTGGCTATGGTGAAGAATCAGATGGCAGGAAGTACTGGCTGGTCAAGAACAGGTAGACATAGCCAAAAACACTCATGTTTGAAACACTAAGGGGAAAGCACAGTTTTCAAGTGGTATTTGGGTGCAGTTTTCAGCAATATTTTGAATACAGAAGTTTTAAGGTAACCATGATAAGAATCTGACTTGTTTTGGGGTAGTGTTAAGATGGAATCTGAACCTGAGCCAAGTGTGGGTGGAGATGCCTTTTCTTCTCTCTCCTTTGATTCCCAGCTGCCTTTGAGGAAACAGGGTATCCAGCACTTAACCTTCTGCCTTCTCTCATCCTGTCTGTTATGTGTGGCCTCTGTCTCCGTGTTGCAAAGGAGAGCTAATGCAATGCCGCTGCTGCACTGTGTTCTTTCTCCTAAATGGCAAACACGCTCTTCTTCCAGCTGGGGTGAAGAATGGGGCATGGATGGCTACATAAAGATGGCCAAAGACCAGGACAACAACTGTGGAATTGCTACGTATGCCACCTACCCCACCGTGTGAGCTGCCGGACAGCAAGAAGGAAGGAGTGGACTGCGAGTGGCATGTACAGAGGAGAGCATTCACCTTCACACAGAGCAGCCAGCCTCTGCTCTGTGGGGAATGGCAGCTGAGTCACTGGAGGTCCGTCCTACGGTGTGAATTCTGGGACATTTTACTCCAGTTAAATGTGACTGCCAATCTGCTGCTGTAAGCAGCTTTGTATCTATGAGTTCTGAATTTTCTTTTTTTTCTTTTTTTTTTTTTGCAAGATGTACAAAATTTCTATAAAACCTATGTTTAAAAGATTGACGGTGCTTCCTTCGGTCTTTGTTACGGTACTTTCTCTTAGTCAAGGTGCAACTGAGTGTGGAGTAGTGGGGTGGTGTTCTAGGGGAGGGGTGGGATGTTCCTTTTGTCTTAAGGTTAATAGTCCAGTCTTCCTCAGAGTTCTTTCCAGACTTTATGGACTCCCCATCAACCATGGTAAAAAGAATGATGAAAATTTCTTGAAATTTAATCCAAAGTTTAAGTTACTTGTCATTCTATGTAATGAGATGGCACTGTGGACTTCCACTGAATGGGGCCTGGGCCTTCACCCCCTTCTCAAGCACATCAGAACAAAGTCACCCCTTCGCCTCATTTGGTCATTCTGTGTACCCATCTCATTGTTCAAAAAGAATTACCACATATATTTCTTTGAATTTCAGGAGAAATGGTGGCTCTGAAGGAAGAGGGCACTACAATGTCAGGGAGATTATTTATCTCCTACCTAACAGGGGAATCCAGTGTCAAAGAAGATGTACAATGTGGTATCGTTTCACAAACCGAGCATTAAAAGTCCTCTCCATATACACGGGCCCCCTTTCCAGATGTTTACATGTTTGGAGATGCCTGAATGAATTCTTGGAGGGTTTGGAAGAAGCTGACAGTGGGGGAGAGGAGGCTGGTGACTGAAGTGAAGGAAGGGGTTTTTGCCCCTCTCCTGACCAGTGAGAGTGGTTGAAATAGATGACTTTGTTTACCATTTGTTTTATTATTGTAGCAATTTTTCACTAAAACACTTCAAATATACTGAATAAAAACAAAATCAAGCGACATTGAAAGCCAGCATTTCCAACCCAGACCCTACTTTCTCCCGTTACCAACGACATCGTGAACAGTTTGCAGCGTATACTTCTGGGTTTTCTCTATGAATAAACAGGCAACTATTTACCAGCTTTGTAGATAGAGCCTTCAATTTTATTTAAGAATATTATATGATGCATGCTGTTCTAGGATTTTGCTCTCATACTCGGTGCTGAAGGCTGAACCTTCCATGTCTCTAAATATATAACCGTATTTAATCTTCTCTGGTAAATATTCAGTATTAATTCTTAAACTCTTTAAATATGTGAGACATGTAACAGCAATGAATGTGTGTTCTGAGGGGATGGCAGTGAGTTTCCAGGTATGAGAGTGTGTTTATTCAAAAGGCATTGATTGTTGTCTGATTATGGGAGACTCTGAGGACAGTGCCCAGACTTTATCCCCTACTGCTCATGAGGATAGGGCAGGGCTTTTCGGAAGAGTTAGAGTGGCATGGTGGCCCCTCATACAAAAGTAGGAGGCCCAATGAGACCTCAGCAACCTCTGAGACATATCTCAGAGAGTTGAACAAGATGCTTTAGAGATCCTTGCAGGAGGAGCGGGCAGATGGTCAAGGAACTTTCTGAGAGTGTGGAGGACTTTTTACCCACAGAGCAGTGGTCCTCTGTGTTTTTTAATTTCTGTTGGCATAATTAAAAACACTGACCATAAACAACTTGGGGGGAAAAAGGTTTATTCTACCTTGTAGTCCAACATGAAGGGAAGTTGGGACAGGAACTCAAGGCAGAAGCCTGGAGGTGTGGACTGAAACAGAGACTATAGGGGACTCTGAAGCAGAGACCATAGAGGACTCTGCTAACTGCCTTTACCCCCATGGCTTTCTCAGCTTTTTGTCCTATGCTAATCAGGACCACCTGCCCAGGGGTGACATTATCTACAGGGCTGGGACCTCCCACATCAATTACTAATCAAGAAGGTGTCCCATAGACTTGGTGTCCCATCAAGCCAGTTTGATGAAGGCATTTTCATAGTCAAGCTTCTCTCTTTGTGGATGACTCTTGCTTGTGTCAAATTGACAGAAAACTAACCAGCATGCCTGCACTTTGTGTATAGTTTTTACTATAATTTATTCAAGTAAAATGTATTCTCTCCACTGAGGATTATATGTAATCTCTCTCAGCAAGTCCCTTAGGGTTCAGCTCATCTGTTTTAGATGGAACTAATATTTATTTCAACTTGTAATTAACAATGGTATATTTCATTTGTTGGCATTTTTTTTTTAAGATCCATAGGTTAAAGTATCCCAGTGGAATTTTAAAGAGGGAGGCAATACTTCAGTTACTGTCCAGTCTGCTGTACCTTGTATAAAAAAACTCTATAATCAACAGAGTTTTGTTTCTAAGGAAGAAAATGAAAGGGGAGGGTGAATAAAAGAAACAAAGAAAGATAGTTCTGAAGAAAATCATGTGAAATTATGAAACACTGTTCTGCGATTGTCGTGTGAACAGCCCTTTGTAAGAGGGATTCTAGGTGGAAATGGGAAGCAATACTATTTTGTTGCTCATTTCATTGCCCCTTGGTTTTTTATATATCGTTTTAAAATTCCTTCTAGTAGTAGAAGCAAAATAGAAACTAATAAGCAACAGAGCCTTCTTAGGGCCAGTGGAGAAGATCTGTCTAAGAAAAGTAAGATGGAGTCCCCTGCCCCCATGACTAGACATCCAGATGATGTCTCTCTGCTCTGCACCAATTCAGAGCATTTCACCTATGTCCACACCACATCATCTCAGTAACAATCAATCTGGGACCAGCTATGCCTTACTTAACTCCTGGTGTATTCCATGCAGGGGATAAGCAAGACATTATTTGCATTCTTCTATTGGCACACCAGAAACACACAGTATCCAAATTACTTACACAGCGTTGCACAACTAATTTGCCTTTTGTTTCGCAATGACACATTGATCACTAACTCCTGCTTCATCAAAACAAAACTGCCCTGAGAACCGGGCATGATGGGGCACATTGTCAATTTCAGCACAGAAGAGGCAAAGGAGGAAGGAGATCTCTGTAGATTCAAGGCCAAATCTATCTACATAATTCTGAGGTCCATGCAGCCAGGGCTACACTGAAAGGCCCACTTTAGTTACTTCTTCTCTTTAGAAAGCTACCACAACTGCACTTACCTGATTCTGCACCCTCCACAGATGGGACAACTCTTACCTATACCAAAAGCATTGAGGAGGACTGTAGCATCCTGAGAACTACAAAAGCAGCCTCCAGGGATAAGAATGAATTTTCCTGAGCTCTCCAGCTAGGATTTTTGTCTTTATTTTGAAACAAACTTTCACTGTATAGCCCTGGCTGCATCACCAACATCATCATCATCATCAACATCAACATCATCATCATCATCTCAAGATGGAGGGTAATAGAACTGGAACAAATGCTAGCCCAGAGGTCATCAGGTCAAAGTCCAAGGACCCCTAAAGCTGTTATCTCTGCTTGTATTCCAGCTCACCCACTGTCATGACAAAATAAAGAAGAGTAGACTTAAGGGCTACTAAGGAAGAGAGTTATCAGTGTCCTTTAACCATAAAGACCACCATTGCAATGGGACCTTGGACCTGAGGAGGAAGATAGGCTTAAGTCAGAATGCAGCATGAACATGGCTCAGAGGCAGAGGAGCATACAATGCAATCTCAGAGGTAAGGAGGATTCTGGCCAAACAGCCCTACCAAGATTCTTGCTACAACAGACCAGATTGAGCAGATGTCACCTAGGGCATGGTGGGAGAAGAGTAAGAATCTGATCAGACATGAAGCAACAAACAGGTATTCAGAATACAGGTTTTGCTTAACTGACTTCAAAAGACTCTGCTAAACCTGCTGTTACAGGTAAGTTCACAGATGGAACCAGCAGAAGACTCAGGAGCCTGGCTAGAGTCTGTTCAGATGTAATCTTTGAAGACAGGCTGCCTGGACAAGGCTAGGGTCTCTCATCTACCAGGCACCACCAGCATCTAGGATAGCATATTGCCCCATACCTCAGGAGAGTATCTTCCCTTGGCCATTTAGAGCAGACAAAATTCTACCTTCTTACAACCTATGCATTATTAGATGTTCAAGCCCAAACAAATAAAAAATCTTTCTTTCAAAAATCAGTTATTTAAACAGTGGGGTTCATTTATTCACACACTCTAAACACACGCCTGAGCCAAGCTTTTTAAGAGAAAAGACTGCGTCCAGGCATCGTGCTGTATGCTCTCCTTACACTGGAATCCTAGCATTGGGCATTTAGAGTGATCACAAGGGCAACCTGAAGACGAGTGAGATCCTGTCTCAAGGGAAATGAAGGGAAAGGGAAAAAGGATGCTTGCACCAATCACAGGCATCTCCCATGATCCCCTCCTAAACAAAACCAAGGAGCTCAGAACAAATTCTGAAGCTCTGCTAAATCACTGACTCCACTCTGGAAGATGACTGCTCTCTCTCCTGTGCCTTTCCCCTCTTCACAACTACTCAGATCAGAGGTTACTGCTTCCTACTCTTGATATAACTGTCCCCAAATCAGACCCAGACCTGTGGTCCCAGGCTTTGCTCCAACTTACAGGGTCTAAGGAGGAACCTGCTTCTACTTTGTAGAACTAACATACAAGAAGCTCCTCTTCTTTCCAACCCATTGCTCAACCGCCAAAAGCACTCACAAGAGTCCAGTGTGGGATGCACAGGTCCTAGGAAAGAAGGTACCAGTCATTAGTGAGCTTCACATTCACAGGGGGTCTCTGCTGGTATGATGTTCTCTTCTGTAGGAGAACTCAGATGGTGGCAAGCAGCACAGGTCAGATCTGAGAAAAGAGAAACTCTAAGGCCTGGAGGAGGGCTTTGGAGCCACAGACCTGGGATGAGTCTGGGAAGGTGGGGATTAGCCCCACA